TGGGGGGGGGGGGGGTTGGAAGGACCCCCCCCCCCCCCAAGTCTGTAAGTTGTCACCTATTATCATCCGACCACCATCGGAATAACTTTCCCTTCACCTGAACGGGTATGCCAAGCAGCTCTCGTTCTGCACATTCGCAGCTCCGCGCAGCCTTTCAAGAGCCAATGGTGTGTCAGCCCATTTGTCTCCCCTGTCTCCGGCTCCCCACCCCATTTTTCACTAGAATAATTTCTTGATGCCGTGAGTGGCTTGCTAAGTGTGCATCTGTTTTTTCGTTGCTTCCCCCCTCCTCTTTCTTCCTTGGGAAGATTCGCGTCCACTCAACCCCTTCGAAGGATCTGCGGTCCTCAAGGTGTTTTGCCAGCCGTGGGAACCGGTGCCAGGGGTTGGCTTGGTCGGGCACGTGCTGGGGCCTGTGTTTCATTGGGAGGGGGCAAATGTGGTCCCCTGAGGACTTCTAGTCATGTTCCCCCCCCCCCCACTCCATGTTGCTTTCAATGTTACCTACCCGTTTTTTTAGCGCTCTCTACCACCAGAATGGCGCTAGGGCCTGATTAGCCGCCGTGCCAAACATTCTTCTGTCTCCTTGCAAACGTTCATGCTAACTGCATGAATATTTTTCCAAGCCTCAACCCTCTCTAATGCACTTTAACGGGGACATGGTGTCTTCCAAGAGCTATTCAGGCACACGGTTGCTAAATGCCAGCACGCTGCCCCCGTTGCTTCAAACCGTACGCTGCTTCTCTGGATAATAGCTGCTGGCAGAACTGTGGGGTTTCCCCCCACCTCTTCTTTTAAAAATGCGATTGATATTTGAATAAGCATCTTCAAACCTCCTCTTCGGAGTCCTGCTTCCACTGAAGACACTTGCAAGGTGTCTTAATGAGTATTTAGTTAGGCTCCTAACTGAGTTGCAAAGGCAGAACAGAGTTAGGATGATTATATGTGCGAGAGAGAAGTCAGGCTGTGATTTTTGGCGTGAGAATCAGTTGTTTGAGGTGCCCTGTTGTGTCTCTGTTTGCTTCCGCGCAGGCTGTGCTGAGGGGGCTTTTTTGCTCCCATACGGAGGCATCTCCTTTTTTTCCTTTGCACGGATTTTGGGGATTGGAGACTTTCTGTCTCTGGTGGCAGAACTGAAAGCTGGGTCGACTGGCGCTGGCGATGCTGCAGCAGAGCAAGCTCCCCTGTCACAGTTAACAGGCTCCTTTGCAAAGGAGATGAGCCAACCGTAGTGGGAAGAAAGAAACTGTTTAGGTTGGTAAAACAAAGCATTTACAAGCCTACATTCCTTTTCTTTTTTAATTGACTCTCTTGAGACTATTGACTTTCAACCTCTTTTTCTCCACAAACCTTCCCGTTTGAATAAAGAGAAAGGAAGCAGAGTTCCACATTGGCAAGTGGCTAGAATCCAATGTATATTCATTTATATGCCCTCCCCCCCAATTCTGGTGAATCTATTCCCCTTTTGCTTGTGGTTTCCCCCCCCCCCTAGAAGTGCTTATGAAAAAAGATGGAGAGGAATTGAAAAACATAAGCCCAGCGGTGCTGTTTAGCCCAGTTGTTTTATCGTTGATGTCGTTATTATTTTTTAAGTTGGGGGGCGATGAGGATGATCAACCATAAGGATTCTGCAAAGTCCACACGAAATACATAAAGTGGTCAGTGAGCTTCCAAGATAATGTTTGCAGAGATGATGAAAGCAAACCCGTTCTGAGCCAGGTGGTTTCTTTTCAAGAAACCACGCCCACCTACACACACATATATAAAAGGTAACTCTAGTTCCAGGTGGGATGTTCAGTTTTCACAACCATAGTTCCCTTCTTTGGAATCCTGCCATTTTCTGAAATTGATTTCCATTCTGAATTTTTCAAGACTGCAAGAATGAGGAAGGCATATGCATTTTCCCCCCATGCATTCTACCTTTTTAAGAAAAATGCAAGCAGGGCCTCTTTCTTAACCTGATGGCTCCTGCCACCTGTTTTATCCTGGAGGAGCCAAACTCCTATCAGGGTGAGAAAATATGTTTCTACGTATTTTCTGGTCTTTTTCCTGCCCCATCCACCCAGCATCTAACCCGGTATGCAAGAAAGCTAAGGTGGATTGCAACTGGCTTCCTTTTGGGACTTGACAGTTCTTCCCATCTGGCAACCTCTGATTTCTCCTTGTACCCAAGGACACTAGGCACCAATGGGGTAATGAAGGCCGTCTTGCCATCCCAAGATAGAAACAACCTTTCTTGTTGGGCACGACAGTTGGAAGGAGACACAGTGGGCTAGTTTTTCAAGGGAATGTCCTCCTCCCCAATAGCCCCTTAGTCTCTGGGCCCAATCCACCCCACATCTGGATGGGAAATGGTATGGCAGAGAAAAATGCCTCCGTGACTCGTTTCCACCACTGACCATTCAAGGACTGAGGGACTCCAGGTCAGCCATGGAACCCTTCTAAAAACTGGCCGAAACGGACACCATTGGTGCTGGTGACCATTCTGGGGAAGGTAGTCTTTGGCCGCTGCATGGGAAAAGCAACTGTCCCCCAACATCTCCCAGGAGAGGTAGCGTATGTTGCGTGGCCATGAGCAGAAACCAGTTGCACCCCATCTCCTTTCCACCACTACCCACCAGGCCTAGACAGAAGTTCTCTAAAGCAGCTCCAAGCGAATAACAGCCTGTCTGGTAAGAAACAAACGAAAACGGTGGGGGCGGGATGGGGAGCATCAAAGACTCCAGACTCTGCAGTAGGTAATCTTGCAATATTTTGGACTACAATACCCCCATACACACACACCAGCATTTTGCATCTGCTCTTGGGGGCTGATGGGAATTATAATCCAAAAGGACTGGCTCTCACTCTACCCCAACCACCTCCACACCCCGCTTCTATGCATAACCCTAATAATCCTATGCATATGAACTATCTGCAACAG